ACACTATTAAATTATTACTAAACTTAGGTTATGAATTATTCTATTTATTTACACTACTGTTGATATATCACTATTCACTGCGCTATTTATTTCACTTCTATCACTGTCAATTTATTTCTGGATTCACTTCTGCAACGGTCAATTTATTTCTTCCTCTCTCGACGATCGTCTCTTCCTTTAAATACTCTTTTGTTTACTTTCTGGGACCTTCTGGAAACATCCGGATAGTTTATTTTTTCTTTGAACTGTTTAACTGCTTTCCCAGAACGCAGTTACAAATACGGCACACATGAAGAAAGGCACCCGCGGCTTGTCGGCGATTCGATAAGCCGTTCACGCACACGTGTGCCCGATCGCACACGAACACACTCGTGCTCGCTACAGTATGTTCAAAATTATTTTCCAAACACAAACTAGCGATAAAACAAATGTGTTGGATAAAATTAATATGGTGTATAAAATTCCCTGAAACAATTGTGATATGAACTATATTGGCCAAACTAAAAGACCTCTCCGTATCAGACTCCGTGAACATAAAAAGCATACTGTCAAAACGCCTTTATGTAAAACCACGCTATTGAAGCCAAACAGGAGATAATTATTTTAAACGATTATTCTTAGAGGATTTATTTATACCTAGTACGAGGGATTTAAGCTATTAGTTCTACAACCTAATAGCTAATAATTATTACATTATTTACAATCAGTTTAAGCTAAGCATAATATAACTACGTGAAACTAAAAATCTAAAATAAAGTTTTATCTTTAGTAAAACCCAAACTACAAATGTTACAAACGTAATTTAATATATTTATACTTGAAGAAGGCGGAATCGGAATTTCGTGTTTAAATATGAATTTTATCTGGCACCAGCTGTTTTGGGCCACTTTTTAATAATGTTCTTCATGATAGACTCATGATCCATTTGGGCTTTTAGATTCAGACGTTTCGTCGGCAATACCTCTAAACTTTGTCAGTAATACAGAACGCATAGCGTAACGTTCGTCTACCGTGTCAACGCAGTACTACTGAAGATATTAACTGCAATTGCTGACAAAACGTCTGAGCCTAGCAGTTCAATCACAATTCTATCATGGATTCCGGCCGTGTAGAATTATCTTCATTGTTGTGATTGTTTATTATTCTTGAGCACACACTTTTCGTATTTGTATTGTTCTTTAAAATTTCTTGGCATTTAGTCAGCTGTAAATTAAAAATTTGGCAGCGTTCCTCTTGCGATATAAATTGTGGCACCCGGAACTGATGGTAACTTTCTTATTTCCAGGAGCTGGTCGTCAGCTCGCCAAACGAAAGGAACTGGCGTGGAATTTTTATCGCATTGCTGGTGATTGTTGCTGTGCTTGGACTGATCGTGTTCAGTATTGTGCTCGTGTCGCCACCAGACGAGGGCCCCAGACTTAAGGGAAAGAAACCAACCCTCGAAGATATCTTTCATAAACTGCCGCCTCCAGTCAGGTTCAATGGCACATGGATATCAGGTCAGTGAACAAAAAGGATCGATTTGATCCTTCGAACTTTACTTACCTGCATTTTCACATATAAAAGGAATTGACTGCTTTAGAAACTGAATAGGGTGACGTAAGAACTTGCGGGAAAGATAAAATACGTGCGGCAGGTTTTATCCTTTTCGCTTTGCAATAAAGGACTTAAGGCACTAAAAACTTTACGGTTAAAAATATCGATCAATGATGAGTTAGGAGTTTGCATTACAGGAAGTTTTTCGTCCCGAAATATCAAATTTTTGTATTTGGTGACCATGAAATTGAGAAATTCTTTCAATGTTACTTCAGTCATGGAATTCTCGGACTATAACACTTGACTGTCAATCATCAGTCAAATATTCAGTTTATTTTATTTCTGTCTTTATTTTCAAGTTCCATTTTTTTAGCAATACCATTAATTTAATATTTTTCAAAATGCTGAAGATGTGTGTATTCAGTAAAACTCAAAAAACTACACCGCACCCGCAGTCCATGTTTCACACCCGTACAGCGCCGCGCTCCAAACATAACCTTTCACAATCTTATTCAAATTTCTAAATTAATCGTTCGCGACATAGAAATGGCTTCTTTTTATTGAAGGCGACTCGATCCTGCGCTACCTTCTGCTTTATATGACTATTAAGTGTCGCTTATGAATTTCAAAACTATAAAAGTATGTTTTCATAAAAAATAAATAGATTGCAAATATGGCAACAGCAGTATGAACTCCTTTAACAATTAGAAGAACTGATTAATTCTAAATAAAATAAATATGATCATCTCTACTTAACTGCTGGAGCGGATTTTTAATACTAGACATGTCCGAAAACAAAATTTTGCAATGAAAAATTTTTTCCTCTTTATCAATAAAACATGGCAATTAATTAATATCAGAGCCCTGCAGACTCTAATAGTACAATATTCCATCACTAATACAAACGATAAACAGTAGTTGGTTACATTTCCCTATTAAACCCGCAAACAAATTGTCTCGTTAGCATATATCAGCACAAAACAGTCTAGTCTCAATGTGCGCATCAATTATCAGTAATTAGCCAATTTCATTATATTTTACACATCAAGTACATTTGTACATAGATTTCAGGAATGATTTGGAGCCAGTTCAAAAACAGCGGGTTTAAAGGCAGTGATGACATCGGCTAGAATTAATTGGCACACATTGCGGAATATTTTCATTGTAATGTGCATCGGAACATGCTCGATAATTTAACGAATAGGTGTAATTAAAATCGTTTGAAAATTAGATGCCCACGGTTGTACTGGAAATGTGAATGTATATATCTATTATGCGAAAGTGATGCATTCACCATATACAGCATAAAACAATGGACTGGTGAATAATGGGAAATGTCTAAATCAGCAATTTAGCGATCAGTTACTATGACATAATTATAACATTTCAATAGATGCTCATTACTGCATTTTACTCAAAATTGTCATGGTGTTGATGCTGCCAACCAGGCCCGCCCTAAGCGGGTATGCGAGGCATGCACCGCACGCGGGCGGCACGTTTAATGGGGCGGTAAATTCTCATTATTGTACAGTTTTTAGGTAGGGTAGAGAGCGTTCGAGTCCCGGTAAGGATGTTACAGCAGCAACAATTTTTCCTCACTAATTTGTGGTAATTTAAATTGGATAAGAATTAAATGAACTTCACATTAATATTAAATATTAACCACTATGAAAAGTTTCTTAAAATATTTATTTTTCGTTAATTATAATCAACTACATCATAAAATTATATGAAATTAATTGTTTCCGCACTCATGATGTCGCTGCACATCATAGAGATTTACCATCTGTTCTTGTTCTTATTCAGAAATTTATCGAAATTGGTAAATCCGGATTACGCCTTCGATCTCATTTGATCTCATCAGCACGCCATAAGCAGTCTTGTTAAATACAAATCATACCATAGAAACCCCTAAATACCTATTTGATGTAGGTACCTAAAATCCAAATTCTTTAAAAGCTTGTTAGGTTTGGTCAATAACTTATCGATGCTACCTTTGGCCTGTTGATGAGATCATATAAGATCGAAATCGTGATTTGCGCCTAGTAGTATACTTCACTTACTTTCTCTAGCTATGTGCCCCTTCCAATGTCTTGGATGCGCGCTGGCAAACTCGTAGATAGGGAGAAAAAACTCATTATACTCTCAACTCTTGTTCATTAAACATACTTTTTCATACAGTACCTGCCAAAAGTTTTGTTTCATCAGGAATAGTAGTGCGAGTCGAAAACAAGCGATAAAGCCTTTAATATGTCTTCAAATATAAATAAACATCTCGTTGATATTTTTAGTAGTAAATACTAATAACAGCACATTTGAGCGATGCAATTGTAGTGGATAAAATGGTCAATTTTTCCGTGCAGTACTGTACGGATTATACGCTCCTCACCGGTTAAGAGTTTGACCAAGAGTTGTCTCCTTCCTTTTCTGGCCTAGTGCTGTTCTTTTCTACTTTGTGCCGGTCAAACATCGCTACAGAAACTAAACGAAGTATAGTAATATAAGTTTTTGACGAAAAACATAAACATTCATATTTATATAGTGTAAATAGCGTCGTCGATTTGGTTAGATAAGTTGAAATACCTTGGTAACAGCAAATACCCAATAGATGGCTGAGGCATCAGGTAAGTTTCAGTTGGTTTCTGTGTTCACTTCCATTCCGTTCTCGATTCAGTTTATTTAATTTCACGAATTGCCTTAAGTTCACGACTGCATCTGGCACACAGAATTAAATTCATTCCACTTTTTCAAATCAAAGCGAATGCTATTACGGACCCGACGAGCGGGATAAAGATCATGAAACCAAATTAAATTTTAAAATTGAATGTTATTTACTTACGTTAGTTTCACTCAATTGGTACTTGTGTAGAAACTATGCAACTGACAGAATCGTTTGAAACAAAGTAACAAAAAACGGTCGTTATTAAATGTAACGTTCCTGAAATTATTAGTTATCGATCGCTACATTCAATACATAGAGACTAAAATATTTTAATCGAATTTTGATGCGTTCAAAGTGACAAAAATAATTGCGAAAAAGTGGCTCTAAATGTCTACATTCGATTGTATAGTTGGTTGCATACATTCTACTGATATATGAAAACCATTACACTTTTGCTGAAAAATTTAAAGCTTGAGCATTACACACTAAAGGGTTACGACTAGCTTACATTTATATATATATTATATACCCTCTTTGCTTTCTCCTTTTTTTCACTTGGCAACTCAGTTACTACATAGTCACCCTGTGTAATAAAATGGGTCATAATTTTATGTCCACAAATTTCCCCACTAACGTTTTTTATATTTATCGGAAAATGTTGTTATTAATTGAATTATTTTGATACTCGAAGCGAACAAACGCTCACAACAATGTTCCCCCTTTATTACGGATAATGAGCGCAGATATATGTATATTAAAATATTGGTTTACGTAAAAGACCGGGTTTCGTAAACATGTCAGGAGAAAGGGCCGAACAAAATTAATCGACGAAGAAAAGAAGTTTCCAAGTATCCGAAGGGAAGCGAAAAAGTGTTTCTAAAAGAAACTACCCCATTCATCATGTAGTTTATAACGGCGTTATTCTTTCTTTGTTAAAAGGAAATTTTGATGGATACGCGATTGATTTGTTGGTATGAATAATAGTGTATACACAAAATAACAAAAGAGTTCTGACATAAAGATATTACGATTATAAATAGTTTTGTTGATCTTTCTTCCTGTGAGGTGTAAATGACGGTTTCCTGTTCAATTTTCTTTCTGCTGCTTCTTAGATTCATGATACTGTCTAGTCTAGCAATCAACAGTAAATTTTTTTTTGTTTTCGTGGAAGAGGGAAAATCTTCAAAAGATACCCAGCCGTCCATTCGAGTGAGCAGTGTCGGATTCTCGAGGAAGGTGTCCTTGGACCTACCAACTAAAACCCCGCTACTTCAAGTCGTGTGTTTCTGTTGTTATTGGCGTGTGTGTGTATGTTTGTGTTCGTATATGTATATGTGTGTGTGTGAGAGAGAACACAAACCTCATTTTCTTTCTCTCAGTCCTAAGACTGGTTGGACACGTACCTCCACTCTTTCCTATCCTGAGCTAAACTTCGTATTTCCATAAAACTAGAACAACCCACAACTATAACTACTTGCGAACAGCAATCTAATCTAGGTCTACCTCCACCCCTCCTAACTCCTGTTTCTGCCTCTCTGACTAGACCTTCATGCCTAAGAAGGTGTCCTACCAACCTATCTCGCCAATTTTTTATTCTAACCTTTGCTTTATATCCCTACTACTCCTTCCTTATCGGACTTCCTAGATATCTAAAATCAGCCACTTTTTCTAATTTTTCGTCTCCTACCTTTATATTCGCTCTTTCCTTACTTTTTCTTCCCTTGCATACCAGTATTTTAGTTTTAATTTTATTTATTTTCATACAGTACTGATCTGTCAGTACCGCTTCCATTTTAGTCCTCCTTGCTAGATATTAATACTGCTATATCATCTGCAAATAATCTAAGCCTACTAATCTTTTGCCCTTGCACATTTATCCCTACAGTTGTACTGTCTTTAATGATGTTGATCGCGTCTTCGATGTATAGATTAAAAAGTAGCGGTGACAGTGTGCATCCCTGTCTGACTTCCTTCCTAATATTTACTTCTCTGCGTTGCAGTGCCAGCTCTATAACTGCCTGTTGCTCTTTATACAAACTATGTATCACTCTTCTGTCTTTATAACTCATCCCTACATTTTTAAGTATATTTACCATCTTGTCCCATTTAACATTGTCAAAGGCTTTCTCTAAATCTACAAATCCTATGTACGCACTCTTTCCTTTTTCTATCGTTTTCTCTATTGCTACCCGTAAAGCTAGAATGGCCTCCCGCGTTCCTCTATTTCTTCTAAACCCAAATTGATCTTCCCCTAATAGTTCTTCCGCCCTTTTTTCCATCCTCCTCTGTACAATTCTAGTT